GGAACGAAATGTCATGTTTAACTCTCTCAGACAGATAGAAGGAAGACTGGCTCCTAAATGTCTCTGTTTCTTCAAAACATCTTTCTGTCTGTTCTTAAAACATCTACTCTGTCTCCTTGACATGTAGTGACCCTCTGACGACACTAAAACCACACCCCGGTTGGTTCGTTCAACCAATCAGGAAGTTCTCAGAGGAACCGGAAGTGACCTCTTTAAAAGGGTCGACACTTCCTAGTTCCAAGCAGAACAAAGTTCCAAGCAGAACAACGTTCCAGAGCAGAACAAGAGTTCCAGGGAGAACCTCGAACGAGAAGTTCCTGAACGAGAGAAGTTCAGAGGAACAGAAGTTCAGAGCAGTTTCTAATGGAGTGACAAGAGTCCGTCGATGCCACGACGTCTCGCTGTGGCTCTACCCGACGAACGCTCTGAACAATGAGGAAGTCTGTTCTGTGATGATCTCACGACTCCTGAGGTCACAGCTGTTCTTACGGAGACGCTGAAAAGAGTTGAAAGAAAACTCTACACCGAAGCCGAAACTATCGTCTGCAAAGGTAAAAGAGTCGATCTTCAACTGCGAGTGTACCGTGGGTTAAGCTGCGTCTAAAAGAGCGTGTTGTTTCTGGTTATACAGACACTTTCCCTCACCCATCTCTCTCCATTTAAACTTCATTTTCCCATCTTTAAAACTCTTCTATCTGCCAGTAATTAATCCAGATATTTTCAGAAATGTCTGTTGTATTTCAGTTGCAAGTGAGAAATCATGGCCGTATGATTTCTCAGTGCAAAAGCTCATTAATTAAGCTGTGTTAATTGTAATCAATCTGCCAATTAATGTAAATGTGTGATTTGTTTTAAATCGTTTTAATTAAACGACTCACTGTTGTGGTGGGTCAAAGAAAAACACGTTTCCGTCCACATTTAATATTCAAAACACGATATTACTCAGTCCAGAAAAATGAAAGAATCCGTTTAAATAAAGGATAATATCAGACGCATATTATCCTCATTACACTGATATATGATTATTAAAATCACATACATCATTTTACTGTAATTATATTAAATACATGGGTTAAATGGGTTAGATTTTTTTTTATTCAACCTTTATTTAGACAGGTAAATCCCATTGAGCCTCGAAGACTCATTTACAACAGAGACCTGATTTCAGCAAAGAATGATGACAACAGCGACAACAATGGACAGTTATAAAAAGGCATACAGATTTTTTAAATAAAAAACAAATAGGATGGCTAAAAAAAGAAAAGTAACAAAAAACAGCTAGAATATCTTCACTGCTGAACATTACTATAACTTTTTTGACATTTATATATACCAAAACCACCTTATCATGAGCAGAATGAAGTGTTCCCACATGTTAGAACCATCTCTTTTCCTGGCTGCCTCCATATTTACTCAGTTACAACTAACAGCAGAAACACACCTACTCTCCAACACAAGAAACGGCGCTAAAATGTTTCATAGTGTTGAGCTCTCTCAATTCAAAACTGTCTCAACCTGTCACCTGTCAGAATCGAGACGAGGCGGTGCCAGGGAATCAGCTGTTTGGACCGCGAACCAAAGAGATTCATTCCAACAACGAAACAGTTTGTGTTTCGGACATCACGTGACTTTTTCCGCACTGAAACAAGCTCTGAAGCAGTGGTTCGATGTAATTTTACTGCAGGGTTCGAAGCATGTTTTGAAGCTTTTGTTTCATACTACCATTACTAGTAGTAGTACTAGTACTAGTAGTAGTAGTAGACTGGTGCCAGAATATCAAAAGCCCTTGGTGAGTAGTCTTCCAGCGTTTCTCTCTAGTATCCTGATCTTGTTCTCAGTCTCCTGCCTGCCCCTCGACCTCTGACTTTTGTCTTGCCCTTTTGTACCTCAGCTCATCTGCCTTTTTGCTGTCTTTACCTGCTTGTTTTTGGACTCCAAGTTTCGCCTTGCTCTATGGTACTGTTGCCTTTATCAGATCCTGTTGCCAACCTTGTTTCTGCCCACGACTCTGTCTCTGGACCGCCCACTCAAGACCACCGTCGCACACCGCCCCTCGGTGACGTTCCACGCTGTTCAGCGCTCTGCCTCCAGCTCATAGAGCCTTACAAGACCCAGCTCCGGCTCCTTGACCACCAACACCAGCCGAGAGTGGCAGCTCTTTTGTTTATTAATAAAACCTTTAAACCTCTTATGAATTCTTGTGGTTCTGATCCAACCTCAATCCCAACACCAGCTGTTTCCAGCACTGTTCAGAAAAAAAACATTTACTGTAGTAGTGTAGCATTCTGTGGTTCGTTGTGGTTGACTGTCGGTCACATGGCCTCAGGGAGGGATTATTATTATTAATAAAATGTATGTTCAATTCAGTTTATTTATATAGCGCCAAATCACAACAAAGTTGTCTCAGGGCCCTTTACAGGAACATTCACAAACATAAAAGCCAATTAGTAAAGTTCTCTAAGGAATCCAGCAGACAAGTTGAATCTTTGTTCCTCCAAATGTTCACTGTTGATCATTTCAGTTAGCTGTTTAACAACGTCCTTTTCGTCATTCGTCTGTTCTTGCTAGCCTAGTTTATGTTCATTAAGTGTTAGTTTGTGTTAGGTCATTCAGTAGAGTAATAGTGAGGAGGCAGTTGTCATGACGACCTGTGAGGTTCACTCTGTGAACAGTAAGAGTCAATAAAACACCGTCTGGCGACTGATTCTTGATCTACAACAAGAGCTGCACATGTCGCTCAGTAGCTGTGTGCTGCCACGCTTCAGTGTTTAATTAAAAGTTGAAAAAGTCTTTGTAAATATCTCATGTTACAACGTGGACCCCCGCAGCTTATAGACAAGTGCGGCCGATTATATGTACAAAAAACATTTACATTTGGTGTGCGCGGCTTATATTCAGGTGTGTTCATTAGTTCAGAATTTACAGTACACCCAATGATTAGTGTCAGAATGTTTCATTAAAACCTCTTCAGTGGTTCTGTTAGCAACACACACACACACACACACACACACAAAGGCTTCACCTTTGCCTTTGGTGGCCTACAACAACTGCTATAGTTGTATTACATACAAGATTTAAGACAAATTGCTTTTTAAGACTATAGAAGTGCAGTTTCTGCGTAACATGATACAGATCCATACAATAAAGGGCATATTTAAACAGAAGTGTGTAATGATGTGGTATTGGCACAATAAGACTTGCTAGTCTTGAGTATCAACAGTTCTGGTTTGGTCCAGCTCTTCTCACTGATAGCAGAGGTAGCTAAAGATGAGCTTCGGGACGTCCAGTTGACTGATGACTTTTAGAGCTGTGGTGCCCAGCTTCCTCCTCATGGCCAACCTGCTGAGCTGCTGCAGACTCATAGGAGTGGCTACACACAAGAACAGTAGACCATTAGGAGTTCACGAAATATGGCAACAATAATTGTCTTTATGTTCAACAATACTATGTCTAAACAAGTAGTTCTGAGTGAGATTGGTCAAGTACTGCCTTTGTAAAAGACTGAAATCACAATCAAATGACACTTGTAGTTTGCAGTCATGTTGGTGGAAACGAGACAAAAAAACTGTGTACAATTTCAATTCCAAAAACATTAGGACTTTGTGTTAAATGTAAAAAAAGAGGAATGAGTTGTAAACCTAAAAAAACTTACTTTATTCATAATGGATCATAGTAAGCATATAAAATGTTTCCACTAAATAACTGAGGATCTGTGTCCTGGTGTTTGTCTCCCTCTTGTGGTTTGTCCTCCTCTGTCTTGGAATCAGCCCCTGCCTGCGTCACCCGTCCTCCTCACCAGGTGTCTGTCATTAGTGTCTGTATATAAATCTGCGTCTCTGAGTTCCTCATTGTCTCGGCATTAAGCTGCAAAGCCTCATGTTCCTGTTTCCTCGTGTCCGGTCTCTGCCTCCCTTCAAGTCTCTCCCAGGATCTTGTAAGTTATTGCTGCCTCGTCAGCCATTTTGTTTATTTATAATAAATAACTTTTTGCTTTAAACCTGAATCCTCCGAGTCATGCCTAAACTTTGGGTTCAACAAAACACAGCAGGATTACAACAAAAACTGTAACGTTGTTTTATTTAATAAACAATGGGCGGCTGTGTCTGAGTGGTTACAGCAGTCGTCCTCCAATACAAGAGTTGGGGGTTTGATTCCACCAGCAGTCACATGTTGAAGTGTCCCTGGGCAAGACACTGAACCCCTCATTGCCTCTGAGGTGTGTCTCATTGGTGTATGAATGTGATAAAGCTCTGAATATTCTTTGAATAGATCTAGTAGAGTGCTGTATGAATGGGAAAATGAGGCACAGATTGTGTTGTAAAGCGCTTCAGTATCTTGATACGATAGAAAGGAGCTATATAAGTGCAGTCCATTTACCATTCTCTATATAATTAAAAATCTCTAGTGCTAGTTCATTTGCTGTGGTGACCAATGCAGAACACAACAAGGTGCATTTGAATTGGACGGCAACATGTCTCAGCAAAGTTGGGACATGGAAACAAAAGGCTGTAAATGTAAGTGGTAGAAAAAGGCAACAGCTGGAGGAGCAATTAGCAGTTAATGAGGTTTACTGACAACAGGTCAGAGGGAGGACTGGGTATAAAACCAGCATGAAAGAGGCTCAGTCTTTCAGAAGTAAAGATGGGCAGAGAGGTTCACCAGTCTGTGGAAAACTATCTAAACCGTGGATTGTTTCAGAATGTAGGGGAACACCTGGGCTCAGAAAACAGTTCACCTCAGCTCAAACAAACCTCATTCCTGTGTTTTTGTGTTTGAAACTGTTAAAAGTAAGATTCATCTATTCCCTTGGGAACAAACAGACATCGTTTTACAAATATTCAGCTTCGCTCACAAACTCCGTAAGTGACACTAATGTAATAAAAAAAACTGTTATTGTGACCCTCACTAACCCAATATGAACTCATTTTGTATGAAACGGGCAGATCGTTTTTAATGAGAGCGTTTGTTCAACTGACCTCGGAGTTTTGAAACCTCCGAAAAACTCACAAAGTTGATATCTTGCCTTTATCGGAAAATAATACTCCCAAAGTCGTTCCCATGAAGATAACATAAGTTGTTTGTTCAAATTGACATTCCTTTTCCAGGAGATGTTCAGTTCAACAGCGACACCTCTGTTAAAACATTGCATGTTTTAAGTTTAATCCTAAATATGTCATACCTGAATTTTTATCAGAATCAGAATAAACTTTATTATCACTGCACCGAGATACAACACGAACATGTACGTACAGTCGTCCGAAAGATGGGAGGAGTGCACAAAGCTGTGACTATAAATAGCGCAGCCTTCTTATTCTTATTCAGAATAATATTTTGTTTAGATGAGAAAAGGGAAGAAAACATGAGGAGACGGGATTAAAAAAAAAAAGATCTCTCACGCCGTGTTGTAGACAAGGCACAATTTGAGACATAAAAAAACCTACCACAGCAAAGCAACATAAGTAGACCTTATACATGAACATATAGGCGGTGAAAACACTGAATTTTTAAGGGAAAGTCGTAACATAGTCCAGAGCCCCCTCTCAGCCTTTGTCCAGATAAGAGGTGTGACGTTCATCTTCAGCTCAGTTGAGGTTCTGTCACATGTCCACGGCCTTGGGGGAGGGAGTGGTGAGGAGACAGTCAAAGCATCTTTGTTGTTTTCAAAACCTGCCAGGAGGAGTTGAGATAAGTCCAGCTTCAAGGCCACAGTTTGGGTCAGGCAGAACTCGTGAAATTGTTGTTTCTGCCTTTTTAAAGTATCGCTGGTATGTATTCCTCTGATGGAACTCCAAAATAGCCTAATTGATCCTTTACGCCAAAAGTCGAGCTCACAGCTTCTCCAAGATTATTTCCCCTTCATGTGTGCTGCTATAGTCTTCAGTCCTGATAATAGCTGCTCCAGCTCTTTGCTGCAGCTCCACAAATTCAGTCTGAGCACTGTCAAGATTCGACACATCCACACGAATATATAGACAATAGCCAAACAGCAAAATAACCAGTTGTCATCACGAATCCAATTTGTTTCTGTCGAGGTAAGAGGGTCCTCCTTATGCCCTGACTCCTGTCGGGAGAAGTTGATCAATTTTGTTGAGAGACCAGCTGAACCTTCCAATTAAGAGGTATGCAGAAAAAAAACAAAAAAGAGGCTTTTTAAGGGTTCACAGGACAAAAGAGTGCAGCAGGGAAGCAGGTGGGAGGGGAGACAGGAAGACACGTCTGGTTCCACTGGAGGACAAAGAGAAAAAATAAATGCACCCTTAATCTATCACCTCCGGTCCGTCTCCTCCCCCCAAAAAAGTGAAAAAGTGCTTTGGTACTCAAGGGTTGTACAGAACTGGACCAGAACTGGACCCCCAGACTCAGTGGTAAACCTGAGAGCTTCTAGTCAGCCCACGAGGACTTCAAAGCAGGGACGCGTTGCCGTAGATCTGGCGCTATTTCCGGAGCCCACCACCACCAAATCGAGCCAGAGAGCCGACCAGAACCGGCAAGGTAGGTCCGCCAAACGGAACCAAGTCGGACCAGAACTGAGCTGCTGCTGTTCGGCAGAGCCTGGCAAGTAAAATTTACTAGCTACATATACAGTACTGTACTTATGTTGTTAAAATGATGTAGGTTTAAGAGTTTAGAACATTGCAAGAATGTGGGAAGGGTTTTTAAAGTTTTAAAATATATATAAATACTAAAATAAATATAACATTGCTACTTTGTTGATTTTCATTTATTGCCGGGGGGTGGGGGGAGAATCCTGGATTGTAACCCCCGTAATAAACAAGGGACTACTGTACGTAGTAAAAATTATCACTGTAAAAAATGTGAAAGCAGTTCTAGTTTCTCAGCTGTGCATGAGTGTGTGATCAAAGATTTCCTGGAAGTGGACAAACCACTCTTGCTTTCCATCTGCTGATGTTCCTCTGACACTGCAGTACATGCAACTCTGTAAACCAACTCATCCAAATTATAGTTGTTGTTTTTTTCATGTCATTCAGATGTTGGTCAAAGCTTACATTCGTAAAACAGCAGGCAGGCTGCAGACGGAGAGCCTGGTGTGGTGTAGTCCACGGGTTTCTTGTTGTGCTGGTCTCTAGCGTAGATGTTGGCCCCAAACTCTACCAGTATCTCGATAATCTCAACTCTCATGTTTTTAGCTGCGTGGTGGAGGGGAGTCTCGTGTAGCCTAGCAGCATTGACTTTTGCACCTGAAAACAAAACAATGAATACATGAATGTTTCAAGATAAGGTAAAACTTTGTCTCTCCTACCTTGAAGACATTGGTGTACATTTCACCTTCTATATCGAACACCACTGTCACCATTAATATACCACTACTAAACCTACTTAGTTTTGTTTAAAAACGTTACTGCAGCTAGTATAAATCCAAGTTAACACTATTTATCTACAACAACCTTTACAGCTGGGCTGTATTTGCTCCATTGTGTACGGCCCCTGTTAAAAGGTGAATAACGTACAAAAAAAGCAACATTTCACCTACATTTTCTTACTTTGATTCCACACATTTAAAGAATGTTTCTCAGCAAGTTTGTGGAAATCCAGCTGTGTTGTTTTAAAGACATTTAAACTTTAATGGACTTGAACATGCAGCGTCAGGTCAGCACTACATGTGTTTATAGGCAAATCAATTAAAAAAACATTACCACTAGACTTTTTACTTGTGTTCAACACTACTATTTTAAAGGATGTTTCTCTGCTTAACGATGGACATTTGACTTCAGAGGACCTGACTCAACCTTGTTAGATCTAATGGTAATGTTGTTTTCATTATTTAATTTGCCTATAAGCACACGTAGTGCAGAGGTGCATTACAGCTGAAATTTCTTTAAAACCCCACAACTTATTGTCCTCAAACTTGGTGAGAAACAATGCGTAGAATGCGTGAGAGAAGTGCAGCGGTCTCTATTCACACAAGGAGAGCTGTTGGTCAGGTTACTTCTTGTGCCTTGCTCTCAAAACAATTATTGAATCAAGTGTTTACATATGTAGCTAAAGGTAGATGTTTAACAACCCGTTAAAATACATCAGAATGCAGGAAATGGCACCTACTTTATTAAACATTTTTTGGAGGAGGACCCCCAAATCCCCCCACCAGTGTCTCTCCCCCCACCCCCATTACAAATGCTTCTGACATCAGTGGCTGAGAATCATTAGATCTGGGCATAACATGGATGAGGCCGTCCCATCCAGCTGGCCTGGCACCGCTCAGGGATGACTGAGACGTACTTGAGCAGTATTTGGTTGATGTGATCCCCAAAAACACACTGCCTTCCAGTTCTTCTATTAGAGATGTCCTCCTGCAGCTCCACAGCTGTCATTGTCCCACAATTATACACAACTTTATGCACTCATTTTTAGACGTATGTCTTTGCAACTTATTGACCTGAGGAACCATCACGGCTGTTCTGAATTAATTTTCTGATCCAACGCTGTTTTCTTCTCAGTGAGAATGAAGTGTCCCTTAAACAACGTTCAGTCAGGTCATCTGGACGGTTTACAAAGTTCATGCTCAATCATCCAGGTACCAAATCCAATAATTCTCAGTCAGGTCATCTGGACAGTTTTTTTTTTATAGAGACGTTTCGCCCTCTATCCGGAGGGCTTCATCAGTCAGAGGAGCTCCAGTAAACTGTTTCCCCACCAAGTTAAACATTGAGCAGGAGCTGATAGCTGCTGTATCATGTTTCAAACTGCGCTTCAAAAAGCTGTGCACTGCAAAACGTGCTCATTGTAGCCATTAATCCTGACTTCCTCATTTTGATTAAACAATCAACACAAATTGTTGTATTCATTTTTGTTTTGTAGGCCAAAAAGTTTTATATAACACTCCTGAGTTAAAATGTTGCTGATCAATTTGAATTTGTTATTATTTATTGATTATATTTCATTTTATTTTCAGTATCAAATGGTCAAAAATGTTTACAGTTTAAATAAGGATAGCTTTTTTTAATTTCAGGCAAATTGATGCACTTTAAGTCTTTTCTGTTACGGACTAAAAAACAATGTTAATAAAGTTATTATTTGTTGTAAGTTGATCTATATTTTGTTCTTTTTTGTTTTCTTTAATGTTCATAAGGGTTATGTTATGCAGAAGTGGACTTATAAAAATTTTATAAAACAAATGATACTATTTACAGTCGTGGCGGAGAGTTGGGGGGCGCAAAATGTTTATGTCTTCGGGGGGGGGGGGGGGGGGAATAACTGATAAGCACTGATTTAAGAAGACCTTCCTCTGTTGAACTAGGCAGGTTTTCATGTACACTTTTTGATTTTTAGCTGTTTGAAGTCCAGTGTTTGTAAGTTTCTGTCTCCGTCACAGTAAAGATTGTTGCCCAGAATTGTTAACAGCCTGCAAAGCAAACAAACAAACAAACAAACAAACAAGATAAAAGCTTAGTGGTGGGCACAGCCAACCAAAAAGTTAAGATTCAGGTCTCTCTTGTAAATGAGTCCTCAAGGCTCAATGGGATTTACCTGTCTAAATAAAGGTTTAATGAACGAAAAAGATTCACTAATGCTAAACAGGTAAAATATAAATAAAAATGGCGGAAGCTAATGCAAAACCGCTAACTACTAAGACGACTGTTACTCGTCTCCTTCCAGATGAAGCTGCATCACCCAATCACATCTTGCCATGTGTACATACAGTCGGCCAATAGCATACGGACTAATTTGGACACGCCCACAACAAACAGGAACAAGCTTGTGATTTTTGTTAGCGGACCTAAAGTTGGCAAAACCTAATTTAACAGATGCTAATTGTTTCCAAAGTTTGCAAAAACACTTATCTCCTGATGAAAAACATTTATCCTTCTTCTTTTGTTTATAGTAATACTCACCTGCGTTGAGCAGCACTTTAACGCAGTCTGTGTGTTTGTTGACACACGCCACGTGCAGTGGAGTCCCGTAGTAAAGGTCGTACGCCTCGAGGCAAGCGCCCATGGCAACAAGGAGCTTCACGCAGTCTGAGTTACCTGAAAACAAAACCACTAGGTGAAGAGTGTTGGATGAAAATGTACCGTTAGTTCTAAAAAACCTCCATGTGACTCGCCTCCCATGCAGGCCTCGTGCAGGGGGGAGGCAGTGCGGGAGGTGAGGGCAGGGTTAGTTTTGGCGCCGTGCTCCAACAGGAGCTTCACACACTCTAAACTCCCAGCTGAGCAGGCCTCACACAGGGGGGTGCTGCCGTCCACGTTCCGAGCGTCCACCTGAAACCAATCGGAAGGAGCAGAAAGATTTAGATCACATTCATACACTGAAGGGACACACATCAGAGGCAATGAGGGGTTCAGTGTCTTGCCCAGGGGCACTTCAGCATGTGACTGCTGGTGGATTCAACCCCCCAACTCTCCCATTGGAGGACGACTGCTGTAACCACTTAGCCACACCTGCCCCAATACATATATAGACAGTGTTTCCCCTATGGTTACTTGCCTTGGCAGGGCGCTCACATCTTCTGTGATTTGTTGTGGGGGGTGAGGAGACAAGTGATATCTGTGTTGCGCGTTGTTTGTACTGACGGTTTTCGAGCGGGGGGAGATGGCTAAGCGTGACGGAGACGGAGTGCTACCTCCATAGTCATAGATTTTTAGCCAGTGTGTCTGTATTGCACGCCGCTAGCTTAGCGCTACATCAGTGCTGACAGTTGGGGGAGGGTCGGTAGGCGGGGCGCTCAGTTCTGTTGACAGGGCAGGGCGCCCTGCGTGTGAAATGGTAGTGGAAACATTGATATGGTCAGTGGTGTGTGCTTGTGTAAACTTGCTAGAGTCACAAATAGATGAACTGGTGTGTAACATCCTATGTTGCATTGGGCCCAGCAGACAAGGGAAAACAATACCAGTTAGATTTTTCTGTTTTCATCTTTAAACATAGAAGAAGCACAGATGATTTCAAAGGTAACCAGGAGTAGATGCTTAATGTACATGCACAGTGATCCTTCAACTATGGCGGGGGTTATGTTCAACAGACCCCCATGAAGTAGCGATGTTATATTTATTTTTATTATTCATATAAGTTTAAGGCTTTCTAAACCCTTCCCACACCCTTATAAACACTTCATATGCTCTCAAACTGCGATATAGCAAGAGGGGATGACTGTATATAACTTTAAGCCGTTATTACATCAAGAAATAATGAAGTCAGATTACCGTAATTTCTGGTCTATAAGCTGCGACTTTTTTCACAAGCTTTGAACACCACGACTTATACAATGCTGTGGCTAATTTATGGATTTTTTTCTGGACGGGCTAACGAGCTTCATGACGCCTAAACATTTAGCCTTGTCACACCAGGGTGCTCATAGAGCTGTCCAATAGACATCTCTCTTGGTGAGTGCGTCCTCATGACTCAGTGAGACTACCTGTATAAATAAAGGTTCTAATAAATCTGACCAAACAGGTCACAGTGGTCACACGTTTTCTCCACCCCTCCCCGTTGTGCCCCCTCCCTGGGGACACATCAAATATTTGCAGCCACTCAAAATAAGTGTGAACTGTGCATTAATGTGGCACTCTGAGCTCCTTGGACGACTGGCGGCGAGAAATCATTTACCGAAACTGGCCGCATGTGAAGAACAACTTTTGTTCAAGTGTGCAGTGGATCCTGCCAGTGGAGCAGGGTAAAATAATCCTCCATCATCAACAGGCTTCAAAAGGCTGCTGCGTGATGAAGAGGAGCACAAGCTCAAGGGCGCAGGAGGAAGATGAAGATAGTGATCAATGACTTCCTGGTAGGCTGCTGTATTTTTATGTTTTTTAACCAGCCGTGTTACAGGCACTGTTCAGAAAGAAAAAACAAGTAAAAAAAAACATTTACTGTACGTATTTGTGTATGTTACTGGCACACATTTAATTCAAAGTTTTTAAAATATTTCTGTGTAAATATCTACTGTATTTTTCACGTTTTTTCCCATTTTATTACCAATTTTTAGCTGAGATCTGACGATTTCATTCATTCTGACATGAAAAATATTAAACATTACAATATGCAGCTGCTAGAGGGCCCTCGAGCATTATGGCAAGTCAGGTGTCTCATTAATAGGTAAAAGTGGCTATTAACGAGACACTTGGCTTGCCATATAGAGCCACCTTCATCTCGCTCTGGAACTCCTGGAGCTGCGTATCACTGCCCAGGAGAAATGCAGCTGATTTGACCGTTGAAGTGCATTTATTAAGGAAAAGTTCAACTGACACGCACCTTTGCTATAATGTGGAGCAAACAAATAATTGTTTTTGTGTTAATCTTGTTAAATTCTTGTTAACGTCCTCCTGTGCACGCTCCCGCGGCCGCCATTTTGGAGCCAATCGATTTTTGGCCCAACACTGGCCCACATTTCTGGGTTGTCAGTGGTGACGCGTAATAGATGGGACTTATACGGCAAAGTGATTTATTTATGTTTGTTTCCACTTTATTAGACATTTTTGGACTGATGCAACATGTACGGCGGAAAATACAGTAATGTTACAAGGACACCTGCAGCTTATAGACCTATAAGTGTGGCCTATATATGTACAAAATTATTATTATTTTTTGGGGGCGTGGCTTATATTTGGGTGAGCTCAATAGTCTGGAAATTATGGTATGTGGAAGTTACTTGTTATTTTTCCATTAAGGCAGGATTTTAATAATTGATAAATAAATGTAAAGTGAATTCATGTATTCTGTATGTTTGTTAGCTGTACATCAGGACATGACCTTTAAACTTTCATCATTGTTTATAAAATAAAGAAAATATTAGCAATGAACTGGAAGTCGTTTAAAGATTGAACTGAAGATTGAACAATTTTAATGAATAAACTTTATACCAACATCGAACTGAACTGAGTTCTTTAGATGTTCTGTCTGGAACAGGTCTCTCTTGTAAACGAGGCCCCGTGGCTCAATGAGACCGGCCTGTATAAATAAAGGTTGAACGAATGAGTCCACCTGAGCTCCAGCATCCAGCAGCAGCCGCACACACTGGGCCTGTCCTCCGAGGCAGGCCTCGTGCAGGGGCGTGATGGAGTCCACGGCCACCACGTTAACCGAGGCGCCGCTCTGGATGAGGCGCTGCAGCGCAGAGGTCTGGCCGAGGGACGCAGCTTTGTGCACCTCTGTCCTCTCTGCCCAGCTGCCTGCAGCAAGAACACCAAACAGACAAAAACACCTTTAATTGTTTTTCACTGATGCATTTTAACAAGACCACAGAGTCGGAGTAGAGTTACTCAAACCAGTGCGTGAAAAGTTACTGTCCCGTAAACTGGACGCGTGCTTGTATCCCCCTCAGTGGTGCGTTCAAGCGTTTCTGACAACTGACGAGTCTTTCACACAATGGAGGGTGTTGCTGCTTCAGATCAGCGTCCTGCTGAATAATCCAACTAGTCACAGACGACCCGATCCCATTCAGGAGTTTCTGGTGGATCCCATCAGTTACAGCAAATCT